CCCCAAAACCCCAAAACCCCAAAACCCCAAAACCCCGTTAGACCACTTCGGATTGACTAGCATTTTCAGGCACATAATTAGAAGGATACATTGAAAAATCTCTTGTTTTCAATGGAAAAGCATAAGTATTTGTTCATATTCGAGATTAGGGAGTCTGAGTCACGAAGGTTTTTGATGAAGGCCTCTCGCAGTTTTTGTTGCTGTTTGGCTGGAAGAGAGGGACCACTGATATATAGGCTTTTTAGATCTTGGAATTCTTGCTGCGCAAGGTCTTTGATTTCACTGGTTTCTTGGTTGAGAGAGTTAATTTGTTTAATCCGTTGTTCATGAAACTTCTGGCTAGAGGTCATATCAGAGTCAGATTCTTTCGAAGTTCAGATTGTGGAAGCTTTTGAACTGCCAGTCTCATCGTAAGAAGAAGGAAAATCTGGGTCCATAGATTCCTTTTTAGAAGAAGTGGTCAACAAAGCAACACAAGTATCAATATTTTTGATGTAATCAGTAAAGAGATCTTCTAGCTTCATCGCAACTCCATATCGAAGTGCTCTGGTGAGGATTGGGAGCTCCAGTGAGCAAAGGAAAGCAGGCTTGAGCTGCACGAGGTCATCCTTGTCAAATTCATAGTACATTTTGTCGTTCTGCATTTCTTTGAGAGACGATTTATCCCAGATGTAATGGAGCTTGCTGTTCTCAATTTTGTAGATGACTCCACCGGTCATCTCATTGAAGATCTCTTCATGTTCCTTCATTGTTGAGTACTGATTATGGTAATTCAGGATGATTGCTCTGACATAGTTCGACATTGCTTTATCGATATAAGATCTCACTAGGATAGGATAAAATTTAATAGCATTGTTTCTTCGTTCATTGTAATCTTTTAATTCAAATTCTTCACCTGCAATCTGTAGCATTCCAAGGTGGAAGATTAGGAAATTACTCACAAAATCAATACAATAATGAGCTTTCTCAAATATCACTGACTCTGGATCAGTGATTAAGCTAACAATCTCTTCTCAGTGATAAAATAGCGAATCAAGACGCTTTTGTCTGGTCTTGAAGTCATCTTTTCCCTCTATCGCTTTCTCAAAAATGCGGAGAATTGCGGAAAACTTAGTCTTTATGTCACCAAGTTTCTTTTGGAAGAGTTCATTGTTTATTTCCTTTTTAAGTCTTCTAATTTTTGAATCGAGCTCTTCCATAAATTCAAAATACCTATCAGATTCTACAAGGACATCTATAGCTCCTGCTCCAAAGGCAAGTTGGCAGACACCTTTCCAAGCATTATCCATTAATACTTTGAAGTTATTGAGTTTCTTGTCAAGTGCTTCTTCTTCGGTCTCCTCTTCAGAACTTGAAAGATGCGATGTCAGAATCTCATGAAGTTTGTCAAGCTTATTTTCCCCTTCGGTGTTGTTGCTAATTCACATTTGCTCTATCTGGCTAGATGGAACTATAGTAGCTAGGTCTTCTTTGTGGAGTTTGCTAAGGACCCACTTCATGTCTAGTTCAGGTCTGACGAATACCTCTTCCAAAATTCGGTGAGCCCACAAGAAACCCCATTCTTCAAGCGAGGCTCTTGTTTCAAACCTTTCCTGAATATATTCAAGAGGGTCTTCATAATATTTCTTCCTATTAAGAGGCGTCATCTCCTCAATAAAGGGTTTATCATTTGTTCTTTCAACTGGTTTCCCAACGGTTTGTCCCATTTAAAAATATAAATTAAAAACTCTATATTTTTTGCAATTTAAAGCCCTCCTCTAGGGGTTTTGGGGTTTTGGGGTTTTGGGGTTTTGGGGTTTTGGGG